CAAGGAATCATCTCTCACAAGAGAGTTTTGTACGTCCCCAAATGTCTCGCCTTGCCTCATTGTAGCAATCAATCAACTTCGACAGAACCTTATTTGTCATCCCCATCTTCCATAAATAAAATCCATATGAAGATATTCTTGACGATCCATGACGCGAAATTTTCCCTAACAAGCGGAACCCTTCCTCGACAAATTCGTCATGTGGATAACCCTTCTTCAACTCATTCGTCATGCGGATAACCCCTTTTCAACATTGAACCGCTTCACTCGGTCCGGCATTCGCGGCATGCAGCTGACAAATCTCGAAACCGAACCGCGAATCCTACTTAAAATCGACCCCTACGCCACTCGACGCCTCGATCGCACGTGTCACCTCACGCCCACACGCCCACACGCCCGCATCGCTTCACGCCTGCACGCAAATGCGACGCGACAGACGATCATAATATTCCACGTATGGGAAACAGTCTATCCTTCCTCGTCCATCCTTCCTCGTCCTCCCCTTATTATTGGCCCTGCCCAGGCTCCACTGTCCCCATCCAACGTCCGAGTATCGCTCTCGGCCGTTGGCTCGTTCCGAGAGGCTCGGCTTTGGGTCTTTCGGCCCCACGACCCCTTCACCCTACGGCCGTCGACACGCTCTCGGCGCGGACGGTGGGTGTCGGTCGAACAGTGCGTCAAGAATTGCGTCGACTGCATCAGAAAATTTCTCGTCGTCGTTTTTTTTGCTAGTGACCTCGTGATCGGTGATATTTTGCACACCCAATCCGTAGCGAGAATTCATCCTTTCGCGTGAGAAAAATGATCAAATAACAGTAAATATTGATTCTCCGGTTGGGGATTGGTCACGCCCAGGACAGAGGTCACCGTGCTTCGCACATTTTTCTTGTTTGCCTCGGCCGTTGGCAGAGGACAAATAAAAATGTGGGGATAGCTCTCGAGGGATATCCATATCTGTCGTATCTCAATATTTAGCCTCGTTTCGCTATCGTGATCGATTCTGTATCTGAGAGAAGCGAACGATGAACACCTGAAACAAACAGTTTGATAAGGTAGACATATTCATCGACGAATGTCTTTCCATGCATTTAAGCATGTTTAAATAGCGGTTTCCTGCTTCGCCTTTCGCCGGGAGAATGAACGAAGCCAGGACCTCCCGATGGCCTTTGGGTTTCTTCTTACGGATGCATCCAGTCTGCATGCAGCATCGATTCTCGACTCCCTCCACTTCTGCCTCCCCTCACCTGCCACCAGCCTTTCCCACACCTTCCCCCCCCCCCGACACCCCCTTTTCCTCGGTAGGGGGCGCTCGGAATCACAAGGGAAGGCTTCGTTTTCGATCATATTAAAATCGTTTTTTAAACGTTGGTCTGAGATTCAGTGAATGAAACCCGATGGAATCGCAGCCCCGATAATGGACGGATAAGTTATGTGAACGAAAACGGGCAAGAGTAAGCTGAGGGACATTTTCGGCATGCTTTTCGAGAAACGCGCTGAAAAGCATTCAGGTCGTCAGAAAGAACGATGAACCTCACCAGGAGTCAGTAAGAAAAAAACCGAATTCATTCATTTTTCGCATGGGCGAAGTCCCCACAGAAAACAGCCTCGATAAAATTAACCTCGATGCGACGAGGATTATAAAAGGTATTGGCCAACGTCGGCCCACACTTGCACTCCTCCCGTCCGCGGAACGAAGAGCCAGGCCCGCTTCCACCCACATCCCCATCCACGACGACCGACCGGTTTTTCGCAACCGGCCCCCGGATCGTCACTACTTCCCACATTCGCATTTGCCCACTTCGCGTTTTTGTCGTACTTCGTCACTTCCTCGGGAAGCGCGGGAACGCAGTCGTTGATTTTGCAGTTGTTCTTTGATCACCACTCCCAAACGTCCTCGAGGACTCTCGCGGTTTCGAATCGTCGCCGTGCAGGTTTGCAGACGCGTTTAACCCGACAAGCCGTTGAGGTGACTTCAGAAAACGGTTTCGTTCTCTTGTACCCTTTCTTTTCTGGGCCTAGGCGATTCGTGTTCCCCCCTGGAGAGTTGCTCGAGAATATCAAACGCCAAAACTCTCTGTTGACTTCAGGCTTTCCTTGTGCTAATTACCCCTTAAAACCTGAGCATCCAATTTCTTAGCGCCTATTTCGGCTAATTTGTTTTGGCTTTTTCAGCTTTTTTTTTTTACCGACAGATGTGCGCTAATTTTAAACGAGACGGAATTTCTTGCGGCGCCAATATTTGGCCATGCTCTTGGGATTTCCATGAGGAAGAAGAATACGCCATTTTCCGCCTTCATTCTAAAGACAGAACACAACGAACATTCCTCATGAAGTCACGAAGTGAAATGGCTCCAGATGCAAGATCAGTCTTCAATTTCAAGAGACTTTCCTGATCAAGAAGAGTCTTTCAAGAGTCTTCCTCCGTTTTTTTCCACCGGGGACCCAGCTCGACCACCGGGGACCCAGCTCGACCACCGGGGACCCAGCTCGACCACCGGGGACCCAGCTCGAACGAGCTGGGGCATCCGCATCCTCACGAGTGATCTTTCCTTCTTCAGCACACGCTGCAGGATGTTGGGATGGGATCTCCCTGAGATTCTCACCAGGCGGTGGCGCCAGCCTTCAACGGGATTCATCGTTCGATGGACATTTTCGTTGCTGCGATTCCGTGAGGAGCGGGGCATGGCGGTGTTCTCCGACCAGGCTTGCACGAGGTAATCGTTGTATTTTTCCAATTGTGGATGTTCGGTGAGGGGGAGTCTTCCGTGGCTACTAGTGAGGAAATGTATACAAAAAAATGTGGGGGGGGGGGGGAATAATGAAATTTTTCTTTGAAGATTTTTCAATACAGAATTGTTGGAAAAGATGCGGAGGGGAAGGAATCCTGAGATGCGAAGGGCACGGCGCCCGCCGTCGCAGCCGGTCGAAGGCGGCAGGGCGACGCGGACGAGGATCAAACGGGGAGGATTTTCCCGCCGCGAGTCCAACGATCGTCGTCGTGTTCTCCGTCGCGATTTCCCTGTCGCATGGATGGCATTTGGGGGTTACGGCGGGCGTGAGACGCGCTGCACGCGGATGCGCGTGGGCGTGCGTACCAGGAGGAGGAGCAAAATCGGCGCGGACTTCTCGGGGCTCAGCGTCGGGAGCGCGCGTCGCCGGTGCGGGTGCTTCCCGCCGTCCGGCGCCGCGTTCGAACGGGACGGGTCGGACGCGTCGTCGGAAACGGGGAACGGCGGGGGGGGCGCGCCGTCCGAGGGGGGCGAGGTCGCTGCGACGTTCGCGTACACTCGTACGTTCCAGTCCGGGTCGGTGGGGTCGTTCGAGATCACTTCGGTCGAGGGGGGGAGGGTCGTTCCTGCCTGCTCCGTCTTCGACACGATTTCGATTTGCTCCGATTCGGGGCACGCGTCTATAGAACAAGGACGAATGCCAGGTTTTATCTCTTCTGTTCAAAATAAGGAAAGAGAAATGCGTTTCTCGCATGCCTCTGCCGTTCCAGACTCGATTCAATAGTGAAATATGCTATTAGAGGATGTCAATACATTTAGGCGTGCCATGTTATTATGCGTTTGAGAAAAAGTATTTATTATAATTAACGAAAGTACATTAGGATTTAAATTTTCTTCCATTCTTCCGGGCATGGGGGCAGAGCAAAATCGTCGAAAATTACCGAACGCTACGAACCGATGTTGTTCGCCGATGCGTATCGAGACGACACGTTCGTTCTCACCGGGAAACGGCGCGATCGGGAGGCGGGGTGGCTGGGTCCGGCTCGGGATCCGGTGGAGTCTCCGGCCGACGCAGAGGAGGAGGGCGAGGCCGAGGAGGGAGAGGAGGAGGGCGGAGGCGGTGGCGGTGATGAGGGGGATGCTGGAGGGAGAGGAGGAGGAGGAGAGGGGAGGGGGTTGCGTCTCGCAGTCCTTTCCTGCGGGGATCCGTTCCGATTTTGAGAATGGATCGTGATCGGGAGAGAGAGAGAGAGAGAGTGATCGCCCTCAAGAAAATTTCCTTTTAGAAATTTTCTTGAGGTCGATCCTCATATAATCCTATAGGAAATACGTAGGATTCCTATACACTCCCATATAATTATTGAAGGATTATTCATACATTCCTACAGGAATCTTGTAAGAATACTATAGGACTGTTCCTCGAGGGCGACGATGGACCTCGAGGTCGGACCTGTGTGTTCCGGTTCGCACGAGCATCCCGATAGAGGGTCGCAGCGGAAATTGCCATCGGGACAACGGCATCGCTCCGTGCATCCGTCGCCGAAGTATCCCGCGGGGCATCCTGCGTCGAGACGTCCGACGGTGAAAAAGAGCGACATCGTGCGGGAAAGTGGGAAAAGAAAAATGACGGACCCGATTCGCAGCGGGTCCCGACCCATCCGGGGAGGCACTTGCATCCACCGTCCCCCGCGTCGCATCTGCCTCCGTTCAGGCAAGAGCATTTCTCGCTGCAGTCGCGGCCGAAGCCTCCCTCCGGGCAGGGGTCCTCGCACGCGATCCCCATCCAACCGGGCTGGCACGTGCATTCGCCGGTCACGTGGTGGCACGTTCCTGCGGAAAGCCGTGGCCGTCGGTCCCCGATCGGTTCGTCACGTGTCGTCGAAAGCGTCGGAAATATTTGTTCCCGATTGGGGAGCGTGAGCTTTTAGATGTAAATCTCATTTCTGCTAATTGCATTAGGAGTTTCTTGCATTCTGAAGACTGGATCAATTCGAGCGCGCAGATAAATTATTCTGTAACTTAATCATTCTTGTTAATGTTTAACTTAATGTTTAACAAATCACTATGTAATTGACGCTTTCCAGGAACAAAGACGAAAAATATGTTAATATTTTCATATATGATATACGTTTCTGCACAACGACTCTACCATGGAGGCATCCCGGGCAACGTTCCTCGCAATCCCGTCCGTAGAATCCGGCGGGGCAGATCCGGCCGCAGTCCGGCCCCGTCCATCCGGCCTCGCACGCGCACTCCCCCGTCTCCGACCGGCAAGACAAATTCCTCCCGCATTCGCACTGCTCGCTGCACGCGTCGCCGAGGCGACCGAGCTCGCAGGGATGCTCGCAGTTCGCGCCTGGAAGAGATGCGCCTGTGAATCTCTGGCTCGAAAGAGCCTGGGATTTCTGGCCGGTCACTCGGCCAGTATATCGGTCATCGCAACTTCTTCGCAATGTAAGACAGATGGCTTCTATCCAGGCATTTCTTAACTCCTGGCTATCTGTCATTTACCAATTGATAGAAATGGTCGCATTATTATTTCCCTATCATAAAATTTAAATATTATTGCATAAATATGCATGAAAGCTTCATATTACCCGAGAGCGCATCCAGATCCCAAAGCAATTACGACTCGAAACGATTAAATAAAAAGCGAACGAACACTATCGAGAAAAAAAGGAGAAACGTGACCATGAAATCCCGGCTTGCATCGACATGAACCCGTCACCGGATCGCAACCGTCGCTGGAATCCGGCTCGCACCCGCACGCCTGCGAGCAGTCGACTCCGAACCTCATCCGGTCGCAGGTGTCCTCGCATTGCAGACCCTGGCGACAAAAGTGCTCATGTCGGCCTCACGTCGGCCGCACGTCGGCCGCATGTCGGCTTCACGAGCGGTTCGAAGAGCGTGAAAAGTACCTTAAAACCTGGAGCGCATGTGCATGCACCTGTGACGTGGTCGCATGCGGCCTCGTTGCGGCACGTGCATGCCTCTCGGCAGCCGAGACCGAAGCTGCCGTCGGGGCACGCCGCGTTGCAATCTTCTCCTTCCCAGCCTGAATACAATTTATATATTAGTGATACAATGCGAATTTGATCTTTGATGAAGTTTTCGCGACCTGGTTGACAGATGCACCGTCCATCTTCGTGCCGGCAGATGGCGTCGTTTTTGCATTCGCACGCGTGAGAACAATTCCGACCGAACGTTCCTCTTGGGCACTCCTCTTCGCACAGCGAACCCATATAACCTAATGATACGGAAAACAATATTAACAAAACATTTGGACGTGTTTAAAGGAGAGAATTGCCCGGACCACCGGGGCCGCAATCGCAAGATCCATCCACGTGATCGCAGGAGGCGTTATTTTTACACTCGCATCGTCCCTCGCAGCCGTCCCCGAAGGCGTTCGGGGGGCACGGAGCGGCGCATGTCGGGCCGACCCACCCGGGCCGACACGCGCACTCGCCGGTCCAGGGATGACACGTCGCCGTGTTGCCGGATTCGCATTCGCAGTCGGAGCAGTCGGGTCCGTGCCGGCGCGGAGGGCAAAGACGCTCGCCGCAGGTCTCGCCGGTCCATCCGTCTCTGCACGCGCAGGTGCCGTCGACGTGCGAGCAGGTCCCTCCGTTCTCGCAGGTGCAGACGCCGCGGCAATCCTCGCCGTATCGACCGGCTTCGCACCGCATCTCGCACTGCAAACGAACGAGAAATTCGGAATCTTAAGCCGACGAAGACATCGGAGAAGCGACCGATCACCCCGTCCGATCCACCGTCGCACGAATCGAAACGATCCCGGCCGAGCACAAAACACAGAGCGTTCCGACACGCCCTCGCGAACCTCGACCCCATCGATGCTAAGGTCCGGGTTCCCATCGCCCCAACGTACCCCTTCGCCCTGGAAACGGGAAGAAACAAATACCTGTTTCCCTCTCGACCCCGGTTCGCAGGAGCAGGAGCCATCCTTCGGATCGCAGGTCCCGCCATTCTGACAGCCGCAACGATTTCCGCACCCGAGTCCCCAGCGCCCCTCTGGGCACGGCGCCTCGCACCGCGTCCCCGTCCACCCGCCGGAGCACGAGCAGGTCCCGGTCGCGGGGTCGCAGGTCGCCCCGTTCTCGCAGTCGCAGCCGGTCGTGCATCCGGCTCCCCACGTCCCGACTTCGCAAGCTTTCACGGGACAAATCACGAATTTTTAACACGGATTCTCGCTTACTTGCTACGAACATTTCAACGAAAACCTTCACCACATTCCATAATTTACCTCCGCCTCGCAACTCATCTCAACCCGGTAATAACATCTGAGGCAAAACCATCCCAACCTTAAAACCGGCAGATGCAAAAATATCGGAACAGAACTCCCTGCTAACTCCTCACCGGACTCGCAGGTGAGACCTCCATAACCCGGATGACACCGGCACGCACCCGGCTCCTCGCAGACTCCGCTCACGCATCCGCCTCCGCAACGCGGCGAGCACCTGCCTCCAACCTCTTCGTATCCTCGGCAACAAACCGGAACGACCACAGTCTCGTGCATCTTCTGCGGGATCAAATGGAAACGGCACGACCACATTTCAACCAGCTTCTAAGTAGAATTCAAGCAGGTCCCCCCCCCCCATTCTCAGCCGCTAAATTCCCCCTCGTTCTCAGCCCGTCGAGAATTTTCCTCGGTCTCGTCCACGACTCCCGTCGCTGCCGGGAATTCCACCGACTGCAGACCCTCTCAGTTTCTTAGCCGTTTTCTCCCTGCCCTTCGGCCCATATTCACCCTCGTGGGAATAATAGTCCCGACACGCGGAAAATTTTTCCACGGCTCTGTCCTCAAAATAACCGTCTCAATCTCATATTTGCCCCCCCCCCCTCCCCCTTTAATCCGCCAAATTTCGCAACCAATCGTACAAATTTTCCAAGTGCGCCTTAATCTGATTCTCTCGCTTTTAAGTTTTACTTACGAGCCACCAGATACCCTAGTCAGTTTAATTAATATTCCTGCGTACAAGCGGAATACCCTGAACCGAACAGGAGCGACACCCAAATGTGAACTGCCGACGTTGCATGCGGTTGCCGACGTTGCATGCGGTTGCCTACCTGTGGCTTCTCGGCGGTCCTGAAGCCAGTCTTGGACTTGGTGCATCTGGTCCTCCGATGCCAACCGCACCACGTGTGGTACTTGTACTGGTACTTCTCCATGTACGTAACCGTGACCGTCGTCGTTCGTCTGAAACAGAAACGAAGTCGTCGACGCGTGAACTCCCTTTGTTTTGTTCAATGCAACTGACGTATGTATGCCCTGTGCTGATCTCAGATCCCGCCAATCCCAAAGCTTATCATATCCCAACAAGGATTTGAGGCCCGGCCGTGCGCGTGGTCAAGAGAAAATAATTCGGCTTCGTCGGTACGGCGCACCTGGCTGGTCGTTATTTCACGATAGGCCGTCAACATCGGTAAACAGATCATCAGAGCATGAAACACCATTCTGCGTTGAAAACTTGCTGGGAAATGTACTCAAGTTGCTCGACAGGACGATAGAAGAGAACGGGCGGGACCATTCCAGTCGGCTGACGATTATCAGGAGCAAATGCTACAAGCAGTTAATTATTGATAGTTTCTACTCGTAGTTGACATAAGTGGCGTAGCCTTCGTTTTCCCAAAAGGAGGAGCTAATGGCTTCTCCTTGGCCGGGGGATTCGCAGCGCCATTGGTTGACATGCGAAGGAAATTGCAAAGAGTTGGTAAGAAGAAGGGAGCTCTTACGTGCGGTTTTCGTGGCATACGTTCGGGCCTTCCAGCGCCCAAGTGGACCGAAGGAGGACGAAGAAGAAAACAATATTTGTCAGGTGGAACCATTTTGCACCTTCCATTGATGTCATTTTCGATCCCAAAGGCTTCACAGTTGATCGGAAAACGAGCAGAAATATTTTTGGAGCGCAGATTCATCCAGTTAGTGCGAAAACAAATCTACAGGCACACATGCGGCTCGAGGGAAATAAAATCCCCTTGAAGATCCATGCCGCGAAATTTTCGTTAACAAGCCGAACCCTTCCAATACAAAATCATCAGGTTGATAACCCTTCTTCAACTCATTCGTCAGGCGGATAACCCTTCTGCAACACATCCGTCAAGCGGATAACCTCTTTCCAACATTGAACCGCTTCACTCGGTCCGGCATTCACGGTATGCAGCTGACAAATCTCGATACCGAACCGCGAATCCTACTTAAAATCGACCCCTACGCCACTCGACGGTCCAATCACACGTGTCGCCTCACGCCCGCATCACTGCACGCCCGCACGCAAATGCGACGCGACAGACGTTCATAAGATTCTTCGGATCGGAAGCAGTCCATCCTTTCTCGCCCTCCCTTCCTCGTCCATCCTTCCTCGTTCCCCCCCTTATCCTTATCGGCCCTGCCCAGGCTCCACTGTCCCCATCCAACGTCCAAGTATCGCTCTCGGCCGTTGGTGTTCCGAGAAGCTCGGCTTTGAGCCCCATGACCCCTTGACCCCTTGACCCCTTGACCCTACGGCCGTCGACACGCTCTCGGCGCGGACGGTGCATGTCGGTCGAACAGCGCGTGAAAAATTGCGTCGACTGCAACAGAAAATTTCTGTTGCAGTCGTTTTTTTTCGTCGTTTTTTTTATGGTGCCCTCGTGATCGGTGATATTTTTGCACACGCAATCCTTAGCGAGAATTCATCCTTTCGTGTGAGAAAAATTATAAAATGGCGGTAAATATCGATTCTCCGGTTGTGGATTGGTCACGCCCAGGACAGAGGTCACCGTGCTTCGCACATTTTTCTTGTTTGCCTCGGCCGTTGGCAGAGGACAAATAAAAATATGGGGATAGCTCTCGAGGGATATCCATATCTGTCGTATCTCAATATTTAGCTTCGGTTCGCTATCGCGATCGATTCTGTATCTGAGAGAAGCGAACGATGAACACCTGAAACAAACAATTTGAAAAGTAGACATATTCATCGACTAATGTCGTTCCATGCATTTAGCATGTTTAAATAGCGATTTCCTGCTTCGCCTTTCGCCGAGAAAATGAATGAAGCCAGAACCTCGCTATTGCCTTTGGGTTTCTTCTCACGGCTGCATCCAGTCTGCATGCAGCATCGATTTCCGCCTCCCTCCCCTTCTGCCTCCCCTCACCTTCCACACAACACCCCCTTTTTCTCGGTAGGGGGCGCTCGGAATCACAAGGGAAGGCTTCGTTTTCGATCATTTTAAAATTGCTTTTTAAACGTTGGCCAGAGATTCATTGAATGAAACCCAATGGAATCAGCCCCGATAATAGACGGATAGGTCACGCGAACGAAAACGGGCAAGAGGGACATTTTCGGCATGCTTTTCGAGAAACGTGCCGAAATGCAGTCAGGTCGTCAGAAAGAGCGATCAAGTGCACCAGGAGTCAGTAAGAAAAAACCGAATTCGTTAATTTTTCGCATGGACGAAGTCCCCACAGAAAACGGACTCGATAAAATTGACTTCGTCGCGACGAGGACTTAAAAGGTATTGGCCAACGTCGGCCCCACACTCGCGCTCCTCCCTTTCGCGGAACGAAGAGCCCAGCCAACTTCTACCCACTCCCGCGACGACCGACCGGATTTTCGCAACCTGCCCCGGCTCGTGAAGCGAGAGACCTTGAGGCTTCCTGCACTTCCCTGTTGCTAGGCAGGCTCATTGCTTCTCCGCATTCAACTGCAACGACCCATTATATCATTCCACATTTATAAGATAATTTTATCATCATGAAACTTTTTAATGAATCCCCGTCTCGACTTGGGCCTCCGTCCCTCGACAGCCACAACAGAAATCCCATGGACAAGAACGAGACAAGGGAAAAATGCACGATAACCCCCCCCCTCCTACCCCCCAATCTTTCCCCTCCCCCCCTACTCCCCCACCCTTGACACGACACGCAAAGACGTGTTAACACGTGAATCACTCCAGGAGAGTCTCTCCACGGATGAAGAGATATCCCCCCACTTGACATCCGATATGACGCCCAATCGAGCGAGAGGCTCATCCGCTGCCACTTCATCGCGAGTCTTCCAGGTCGAATGATTTCAGGGAAATCAGGGGAATCTGGGATTTTGGGACTCGATGATCTGGGATCATGAAGTCTCTTGGGTGTCCGCTGGTCCTCGCTCTCTTACTTGGTGCCTGTGAGTCCCTTTCTTTATCGACGTTTCCGAATTCGATCGAACTTACCCCGCATCGCGTGTACCTATACGTACCGCGTCTCTGGTCTCGAGGGGAGGGGACTTGCCGCCTCCGCCGAAATTTAATTCAGTGTTTTCGCCGGTTTGAGATATCCAAATACTGGATTTTCGCATCTGGCTCAGAAATTCCACGCAAATCCTTCGCTATTTCATTGGGATCGGAAGAAATCCTCTGAACCATAAATAACCGTCCTGAGAGTTCCAGTGAGCTAAACATTCAGGGAGAACGCAAGAAATGGCCTTTGACCCAACTTCCATCTCGCCTTCTTAATTTTCTTTCCTTCATGAGCTCTTCGCGCGATATCGCCCACTTCAGTCGAATTTCCTTCATCTGGAATGTGCTCATTGAACGGGCATGGAGCCGTACCCAAGGTGCGCAATAAGATTTCTTCCTCCTCTCTCCAGCAGCAGAAAAACGCAAGCGTAAAAATCCGACATTTTTTATTCGTAATTCGCCACGAAACTCGCGATACGCGGTGAACTTGCAGAAAACAGCCGATCGTCTTCGGCAACCGAGGGGACCGAGGCGACGCAAGCGGCGCTTCGTCCGAAGTACAGCCGGATCTGACGTGCCAAATATTTTGCACTGGAGTAAATAAATTGCCTGTAGGATTCTGAGTGCCACTTATATTATATTTCTCATTTTTCCTGAAATTTTTCACCGTTTTCTCTTGCGATGGGCGACCAAGGCTGGAGACGGATCCGATCGCTATTATTTGGTCGATGACGGACGTTCCATTAAACGGAAACCACCTGTAAGGAAAAACCTGAGTGGTGTTACCTGTCAGCCTAAAATGGAGCGCAGCAAATGAAAAGAGCAAACGGGGAAGGGGCACATGAAGGCAAAGGGAAGGGCAAGGTGTCTTCGATACTCCACCTTGAGACATTCTTAGACGAACAACAATTCTAAAATGTCATACATCAGAACACGCAATAAATGAAAAAGGAGGACATCTCGGGAAACGAGGGACAGTCGAAACCATTCTGGTCAGTGTCTCCCACAGTCAATGAGAAACAAAGGAGGATATATTCGGATAAATTTCTGTGGCTTGCCTAATAGAATGTTGGGCTTATGTGACGTAAAGTGGGAGTTCGAAATCGGAACAAATCTGTCGTGGCATCATGGCGATTGCGAGGTCGACTGGGCATCCCAGGTCAAGTAATTTTCGCTTGTTCGCATTCATCTATTGGGGCAGAAGCGGGAATTTTATTTTTCATATTCTAGTCAATGACTTAGCCAGGTGCAATTACTTTGACACCCGCAGATGTGTCTCAGTTGGATGGCATGAAATGCCATTCAGAAGGTAATT